CAGTGAACAGATGGGAATTCTGAGCGCAACGGATGAGCCACGAAAAGTCCTGCGGTTGGTCTTATCCGAGAACGACGGAAGTAGTCAGAGTGGCGATGTAGGCGTGGCGTCGAATGATGTGTGGCTCGAGGTGTAAGTTCTGGAAAGGAACAACGGGTAAGAAGGTGTCACGAGGTTTGAGATTGAAAGAGTGAAGATTGAAACCCAGGTGTAGAGGGGGAGATGAAAGGGACGATTAGGCAGATGGGAATGGAGAAGGCTGAAGGAAAGGGTCCAAGAAGATGGGAGGGATAGATCGATCGTTTAGGGGATAACGCGGAGGCAGAGGTAAAGATCGGCAGGTGAAAGGCGATCAATACAAGGCGATGGAATGTCGGATCAGATATGATGGAGGGAAGGAGGGCAGGGAGACAAGAGAGGCAGGGAAGACTCTAAGTCAAAGGAAGGGGGGAGAGTGAGGGTAGGTAGTAGGAAAGAGTTCCAAGGGGAAGGGGAAGAAGAATCAGGGGAGATATGATTTGATCCGAGGGGACAGATTGATAAAAAGAGGAAGTGAAAGAGAGAGGGAAAGAAAAAGTGGGTATAAGGTGGAAGAAGGTTGAAGTTGTTTGGGGCTGATGGCTTGGTGGCTGATGGCTGATGATGATGATGATGATGCTGATGATGATGATGCTAATGATGATGACCGGAGACTGATAAACCCCGGCAGAGCGAGAGAGCGAGCGAAGGAGAGAGGGGCCAGACTGCTCGGGGAACGATTACCATGTTACTTACCAGGATGGAGATTTTCCTGTTTGTTCTGCTTCTGACTCTTTTTCTCGGTTCTTTTTTTTTTTTTGCCTTCTTCTTCTTCTCCTTCTTCTTTGTTTTGGGAAGTAAGGTATTTTGTTCCGAAAGGCTGTGTAATTTGCTCGTTTGGGGATATCGGAACGCGGTGTCAAAGTGCTGGATGGCTGTCACTCACACCCAGCAGAGTGGTCTTATCACAACTAGTCGCCGCCCTTTCGTTATCGATCTCCCAGGGGGATCTACGACCGGGGGGTGGGAGTTCCCTTTCTGTACTAGAGTGTCGAACGATAAAAGTCCAGTCTTGTTCTTCCTTGGAAGTAGGTTTTGCTTTTTTGGCTTTTGGGGAGGAGAACAGCCCTGCAGAGGCGAAAGTGGAAAAGGAAATCAGATTGTCAGCAGCACCACCGTGGCATTTGGGCTGATCAGAAAAATGTGGGTGACTTTTTTTGGTTGTGCATGGATTGGCAATAGGGAAGTTTGCTCCCTTTCCCATTTTTTTACCCTGATGGCCGTTTTGTTTTCCATTCCGGCCAATTCATCTCGCAAGCTTGTCCCCAGATCGAATCATTCGGCTCCACCCCGACCATAAAGGGCTTAGTCTGCTGGGCCAGCGGGGCTGCTGCCTTCCTCTTCGGTCGCTAGCGCCGAGATTGTGGAATAAGCCTTATTCCACGAGTGGCGATTGGCCTTCGCCGCATTTCCTTCGCAAGTCAGCCAGATTCTTCGCGTCCTCATTGGCTCTGCCGGAGATTCCATCTCGGTCTTCCGAGCTTCTAGTATCATGCTGGTCGTCGCGCTATTTCACTCACTCGGCAGTGGGTGAACTTTTTTCTCATTTTGAGTCTAGGCCGAAAACGAAACTCATGTATTCAACTAGAGCGTAAAACGGGGAAACGAGAAATTAAAAAAAAGAAAAAGCAGACAGATCCGTAGTTCACTCGTCTGCCGCTTAGGCATCGGACTAGTGAGAACTAGGTTGGCTGCATAAGAGTCCGTCCGTACTAGCAAACAACTCCCGACGTTTCTCCTACAACCCACCGGAATTGGCGTTATGTCACCCGAGCGACGGGGCTGAACTGATGAATGGCTGGATCTATCCTTTAGTCGTTGGTTTACAGGTACTAAGCTACGTACGGACCTTTTGGATGTCCTCCAGGCTCTGACATATTCCGATTTTCCCGGACGGAGAGATAATCAATCCCGTTCCAGCCTAGGCGTGTTGCGATCATTGCTGTTTGGTGGTATCATGATCCAAATCAACGAGTCCAAGGAAACGCCATGCCTCCCACTGTCTTCTTGGTTCCTTTTCCAGTTGATCAGAATTGTGATAGGTGCCTGTATGAAATCAACATTTGATCATCAAGCCTAGTATACATAGATGCTTCAAGCGGGCATGGTCTATCAAGCGCGAGTAGTCCAGCTTCCCGCTTGTTTCAACCTACTCCGAATCCCATACTATCTTCCGATTTAGGTACCTCTGCTCCTGCTGATCTAGGCAACTGATTATCTTGTCACTCAGATAGTTAGATTCCGGATGGACTCGTCCGAGATCAACACTAACAAACAAAAAGACATGGATCTATTCCAAACCAGACCGGATTGACGTTTCTATTGTTTGTTAGTCGATCCGTCGTCCATGGCGTGATTGGTGACCTTTTTTTCCTTTTGGTGAGAAACAAAACGAAACCGAAGGTTGGGGGAAAAAAAAGCAAATCCGCACATTCTGTATGACCTGGCGTGATTGATATCATGATGCGATATGATATGATATGATCTGATCTCTGATGATCTGATACGGTTACATTACCAAAACAGATTCATTACCCTAGTTCGGTCCCTTTTTTATCTTTCTTTGCGGAACTCCCTCCCCTCGCGAATTATCACCTGCCAGGCAGGTTGACGCTACCTAAAATTAGGTTACGGTGTACATACGTGGTTTACTAGTGGTTCCTAACTTATCAGCTTGTTCATTATTAATCTAGACTCTCGGCTTTTAGTTGCTCGCTCTCGGACCATAATTGCCGTCCTGAAACAGTTCGAGCAGGGGGTTTAGCTAATGTATGTACTCCGTAGGATGTACGGTGAGTACTGTAACGACTGAAGAAGAGGCAAAGAGAGAGACAGCTGAGGGAGCGTGGCAGTAGGATAGAAGTTGCCACCCAGCAGCAGCAGCGTGCGTGTCAAAAATACCCACGGACTGTACAATGCTCACTCAGCCTTCCACCTTCTTCCCCCATCGCCCCTCCCTCTCCCCCTTTTGCCTTGCCTCGGTTCCCGGGGATAAGAACGGACTTTCCAATCTCCCCCCTAAAATAATATCCCGAGTTTCATGGGGTTCGGCCAAGGTTGGGTCCGCCAACTATCTAGTCATCCAGCTACAATGGATCGCTGTCCGCTTAAAGTATTTCACATTGGCTGTCAGCCATCGCCCAACATCTTCCTTGGCTATGCGGGGGAGGCGTAACGATCACAGCCTGTTCGAAAGCGATAGGCGGGGAAGGATAGCTGGAACTGGCTAATTTGCTGTCTGTCTGTACCCCAAATCTCGATCCAAATCGCAGGTTTAGGCTAGAGAGAGAGGAGCAGGTAAACTACGTAGGCGCCCAGCCATGTGGTGCTTGCTGCTTTTCAGCTGGGGTGTCTGTAAGGCTGTTTACACGGTCACCAACAACGCACTGCAAGGCGAATCTGGATCTGGGACGAAAGGCAGCAGCAATCAATTAAGGTTTCTCCGTAAGCGACATCCGATCCAACACCTTCAGCTCCACGCGATGATACATGTCCCTGAAAATACAGACGGTAACTTGGGTGGTCTGGAAGATACTGTATCTGTGTGTCTAATACGGAGGAACTTGTCGGGAGTTTTGATGGGCGTTAGATGCTTTCTACTAGTCAGGGTATATACGGCGGAGTGATCGGTGGAAATTGAGCCATCATCATGCAGCCAGCGCCCGATCATTCCCGGTTCGAGGCAAAAGAAGATAGGTCGAGCCCCCTCAAGGCAGCAGGGTAGCAACAGGGGTAAAATTACGGGCTCGACTCTCCGTGGTATCTTGCAAACACAGGACCTGTTACGGTTTCGAGGCTGGAAAAAGTATGTGTAAGTGTAACAATGATGATCGGATACGTGGTCTGAATTGGCCACCGGGAGACTGATTATCATGACTTATCGATCTGCCAGACCGACTTTCTGCCTCCGTAAAGTATGTAAGATGGTCAGCTCAGCTTATCTCCGGACAAAAGTACCCTTGCCAATGAACAACTCATTGTGATCGGCATGGTATTCTAGAACACTGAGCGCGAGGCCGATTGACCAAAAATCGAGATTCAAATATACGTCAGTAATGCACACCTACTAATTTGCCTATGTCTTTTATGCACTCGTGGTGACATTTGTAATATCCACCACTTTCGGGGCATGTACAACTTACTCAAGATGCACATGGCCTCGTTGCAGCGAGCCTGGTCTACTGCGGACGCTACGGACTATGGTATCTTAGCTTTATCGTCCCCCGCGACGAGGTCTGGAGTACGAGCACCCGGTTCAGCAGAGTCCGAATATCCGGAGACCATAATCGACGATTATCCCTAGTGACAGATTTCACCCGCATCAGGCGATCCGGCCTACCCATGGCTAGCTACAGCGAATCTCCGGGATAGGCGCAATAACCCCTCAACTCAACCGGAGAGGCGGAAAATCAGCTCACATGGTGTCTAGGATATGCCGGGATCCTTGTCCGAGTAGGACTCGTGAGTCTTTCTAGGTAGAGATGCCATCGTCACATGAGAGGACCTGGAACCAAGAAAGCAAACAATCCGTGATAGTTATAGCCGGCTATAGTGCCAGCGCTCAGACCTCGATCAAGTACCTTCTCAAGAGCTGACGGTTCATTTACAGTTGCTGCAAGGCTAATGATATTGACAGTCATGACAAGATTCCGAATGAAAAAGAGAAAAGAAAGAAAAAAAATCCATTCCATGCTGGTATAAATCACCGAACCCCAAACCTAAAAAAGATACCCCGGTACAGTACAGTACACACATATCCGGCACCCACTGAGGGCTAGGAAGAAAATACCATATATCTAGAGTTATTGGCACAGTGTGGGTTTGGTCCATAGGACCGCTTCACTCACGGAGCCCATTCCACTCAATCCCCAACCTTCCGCAATCGCTCGCATACCCATATTCAATTCGTCGCAACTCAATCGATCATCAAGCATTCAAATAAGAGGGATAAAGAGAGAAGTTTATCACTTTACCGCCGGCCGTACACGGTCATACTCCGAACAGGCTGAACTGACATGACCCGACGCTTGCGCGTTCGTGGTGACAAGGGCCGCGGCTGCAGACTTGAGTAGCAACAACCTTTATCCGAGCACGTGTGCAGACATCACGCGAGGCCACATCACCCAACTGTTCCCGCAACACGCGCACCATGCTTAGACCTGCTCAGCGCCCCAACCCTGGTCAGTCTCGCGCATGTTAGACGGAGGCTCGATGGAGGGAATGAACTCCAGGGCAATGTATCCCAGACCGATGAAGCCGACGAGGGAGCCCGCAATATAGCGCAGGACGTTATCGTGCAACAGGATCGACCCGACGAAGATGTAGACTGGTTCCTGGTGTTAGCGCAACACATGCAAAGTTTTATCTCCAACGCAGCGCGAACTTACAGCCACCGCGTCCCAGAAAGGAGAACAGGAAGGACGCGTAGCGGTAGACGTAGTCGGGAACGTTGGGCAGGAACTCCAATCCACCAACAACTGAGCATCGCGGTTAGTCTAGCCCTATTCCACGGTGGTGATGGGATGAAACTTACGGAGACCAAAGATAATCACATAGACGCCAACAATGATGGAGCTCATGGACGCAGGGAAGAACTGGGAAATACCACCCAAGACCATGAGCACGCCAACGACGATGTTAACGATTCGGCTGGGTGTTAGAGTCTCGTTAGTTCTTGTGCTTGCGGTGATGACGACGATGGATCTGGGAAACAGCGGGCCCAACGTACAAGATGTTCGAGAGATCCATTTTTGCGATTGGGTCGACGCAACTGCGTATATACTGGATGGTAGTGAAACTTTCGTTTTGGTGGCAGACGTAGCCGATTAAAGTCGGAAGAGGGAAGAGTGTCTATAGAGCAATCACGTAAGTTGGAATTCAACGCTCAAAGGAACCTGGCAGCGGCGGAGACGAGCTGTTGTCGCCTATCAGTCATACCTGAGTGGCTAGATGAAAGACAGTCGAGTCAGTAAGCTTGACTCCGACCCGCAGCCAGCAATATCAAGGGCAATCCAAACTCACCTCGTGTACTAAGAGACCTGAGCAGGCAGCAGTAAGGAAATGAAGGAGACGGAGAGTGCGGAAGGGAGATCGGAGAGATGGTGAGGCTTAAGCTCTCTCGAGTTGTCGCGCTGTCGCAAGCTGCGGGTCCGCCAAGGCCAACCTTACCTATGACTCAGCAATCGCCGGATCTGATCGCATCCACGCGAGATTGCAACCAGGCCATGTTTGGTCGTCGGAAATCATCTCTACCAGCTACTTTTGTCTAATATTGGTGGCTCATGTTGGCAAGAATATCATTCTGTTAATGAGGCCTGCATGCGCATCTGCCTGTCACTACTCAATGCCTAAAAAACTCACACTATCATGGCTACAAAACAGTCTGGCGTCGCTACAGCCGTCGACGTCATACCTCACGCTAGGTTGCCATGATATCCGCTTTGTGAGAGGATAGGGCGTTTTCAGATCCCATGCAACAAATATCTGATAACTGAACAATCCCCGCAGGCGCTGTATAATGGTGAAGTCACAGTATCTGTGAAACATGACAGGCGCGGTTCTCAACTAATCCTGCAAAGCCGTGAGCATGTCAAGCCATACTCCTCGCTCAGTCGACGCATACACAAATTGTGCGAACACAGCACGGTACAGTATAGTAGACATTCACGACGCCATGAGATCACCCTGCTTCTTCTCAAGCCTGACAGCAGACAGTCCGTTAGCCAGCCGGCTCATACTCACACAGTCGCGCCCCAGCTCCGCATAGATCGCCTCCAAGTCCGTGCCCAGCCCGACCTTATCAGCCGTCTCCAGACTGCGCCCGTCCAGGAACGGGGCCATCGAGGGCCAGACGCTCTGGACATTGTTGAGGAAGAGATCCGCCCCCAGATCCCCAAGACCCTTGATCTCCTTGATGAGCTGCCTGGTCTTCTTCCGGTCGTTCTTCGCTTTCTTCAGCAGGTTGTTGAGGTCACCCGCTAATGTGCCTCTCGCTTAGCCCAGGCCAAAAACACCAGCCAGAAGATTGCTAATCGGATGGAAAAACCTACCATACTTATCATTGACCAGCTCCACCATCTCCCCCAAATTCGTCGCCCCTTGCTCTCGATACCGATTGTAGCCCCCATCCTTCAGGGCCATCGCCCGCTCCTCCCAGCTGCTTTCGCTCAGCTTGCGGATATCATGGAACCCGACCTCGATGAGATGGTTGACGGCGCACTGCGAAAGGTCATGGGAGATCGGACGCGACTTGAGCATCGCATCGATGACCATCGCGAGCAGTGTCTCTGGTGAGCCGTGCAGGGTTCCCTCCGCGATCGTTGTCCCGTAGAGCGGTGGACGCCCGTAGTCTTGGACGGCTTTTTGCAGCTTCGGCTTGCTTATCGTTGTAGGGCTTTGCGGTTCTTCGGGGGTGCGCTCTTCTGATTCATCCTCTCCAGAATCGACCTCCTTCTCCTCCTCCTCCTCCTCCTCTTCTTCTTCTTGTTCATCACCTTCAGCATCCTGCTCCAAAGCAGCATCCTCACCATCATCATCACCAACACTCTCAACCTGCCCATCATACCCATCGTCCTCCTCCTCCGCTACATCCTCAATCACCCCCTCCTCAGCATCATCCCCTCTCCCCGCATCTTTCTTAACAACCTTGCTAGGAGGCTGGTCACGTTCCTGCCCGCCCCCAGCGCTAGCCTGCCCAGTACCCGACTCGTCACCAACATCCCTCTGATCGCGTTTGCGTTTCAGAGGGATGGGCGTACCGTCCTCCGTTTCGGGATAGTCCTCCACCTGCGGGGATTTGTACTTCATGTCGGGGGCCGATTTACCCAGGTATTCACCTAATGTAAAGAAAACTTGGCCTGGTTGGGAGTAGGATGAACGTAAATGGCAATGCTAAGTATGCGATTGTTTGGTTCGAAGAATTCGTTTTTTACAAGCGAGTAGTCCGGGGAATTGGATTGATGGTACTCGTATGATTTCTCCGCGTGCGATGATGGCGTCATCATGAAATAAGAACTTCCCCGGTCCACCCCCATTCGCTGTCAGGTGTTTGTCCGGAGGCCCGAGGAACGCGGACGCTTGGCGCTTTGGGGCTTTGGGGCAATGGTCTATAGCGGTTTTACTATTTCGGAGATTCGTGGGTTTGACATATGGATATAAGTGCTGGATTTTCAATCTACATGCAACATGCAAGTATATATGCACGCAAATAACTAAAGCTTGGCGCGGCTGGACAACACCCTCTGCACCAAACCGACCGCATCCTCCGCACACCCGAACGAGGCCTGGTACCCGAACCCGCCATGACCGTAGTTGTGCACGACGGCCACGCCGTCGATGCGCTCGGCCTCGACGCGGGGCCCGCCCTCGCGGAGGGGCCGCAGGCCGACCCCGTGGCGGATGACGTCCAGGCCCTCGATGCCCTGGCCGTCGCGCACCAGCGCGGGGCACAGCGCGACGGCGCGCTTCATGATGCGCACGGCGAGATTGGGGTCCGGCAGGGGATCCCACTGGTGCTTCTGGTAGGAGCCGCCGATGACGGTGCCGCCGCCCGCGGCGCGCGTCATCATGTAGACGACCTCGTCGTCGCCGTCGTCAGAGCCGGAGATCGAGACCATCTGGCCCGGGTCGTTGCGCACCACGACGATCTGCCCGCGCGCCGGGTAGAGCTTGGCGTCCTGGACGCCGCCCAGCGTGCGGGACGCCAGGCCCGTGCAGTTCACGACCACGTCGGGCTTGTGGCCCGTGTGGTGCAGGTGTGGCGTGTTGGCGGCGTCGGTGATGTGCTTGAGCACGGCGCGCTTGAAGACGACGCCGTTGCGCCGGCATTGACCCACCAGCCAGGGCAGGTAGATTGCCGTGTTGATGCAGACGGAGGTGAATTTGGAGGCGTTGTCGATGCCCGGGGCTAGTTGGTCGGCCGGGATTTCTTGGAACTGGTCCAGGTTTGTTAGCTAGGGTTGTATGGAGGCGAATGGGGCGGGTTCAAGGGAACATACGTCCGGTACAACATCCTTATACCAGGGGTTCTTTTGCACCAGTTCGGAGAACCAGTCCCCGGTTGCGGAGCCTTGGTCTTTGGTACGGTTGTAGACGATTGTTTCTATAGGCCATTTAGCTATAATGGCAGGATGGGAAGGTGGGTAGGTGATATTCATACCTTGGAAATGAAGTCCTGCCTCAGGGTGCTTCTCGGTCAGCTCCTTCAATGCTGGCCAGGTGTTGCGCTCCCATTTCTCATGGTCACTTCCACGCTTCCCCACACTGACAGATGGTAAATCAGTAAGCCGGGACTCTTTGCCATCATTATTCTTTCTGGAGGAACGCACGGGAGATAATTGGCACCAGCCCATGGAGAGGCATATTCTATGTCATAGTCTCCGGGCATATGCTTCGCGAGGACGGTGATACTATTCGAGGGGTCCTTCGAAAGGATATACGCAGTGGTAAGACCAGATACCCCGGCTCTGGGACCAGAGATCAGTATGAGCAGCGCAGACAACAGGCGGGGCGGGCCAAGCATACCCCAGAACCACGATCTTGTTTGTCGCCATTGAAACTGCTACTGGTAGGTGGTGAGCGTATCGATTCAATAGAAGGCGTAATTCTCGAGTAAGATATAGAATGCCAAAGAAGGATTGTAAGAGAGTGTGCTGGTCGATAGTCAATCAGTAAGTTGCTGTGAGTCAGGTCTGTCAACCGAGGAATAATAACGCTTCCCCTGCGCAAACAGAGCTTATCGCATGCGGGCAACTGGGATGCGGTCCGGATTGATAAGAGAGAGCCACCCCCGCTCAGCCGGGGGACTAACTAGACTGGGGGGCTTCCCGCCAAGCCGGACTGCTACAATCCTATCCTCAGGCATCAAGACTGGATAGGGTAGGATAGGGCATCTAGGTACGGAGTAGTGTTCCTTGATCGTTACCGATACGTAGGATGTTTCGGCGACACGCACTCAATCGCGCTGACGTCATATTTTGATAAAGAATTTAGAACGCGAGGTCAATCTCACTCCTGCCAATCATTTTGAGATGGGGTGTTACTAAAATGTCAAAGGCTCAAAGCACAGGCAGGGTCCATTCAAATTGGCCCCGTGCTCCACTAGATCAATCAGCAGCATTACTATTGGAGTCCGATCACGGAACGAGTGGAAAGCCGTCTTTGCCAAATAGCAATGAAGTTAATCTGGTCCGCGAAGCAGCGGGACGCCTGCTGCCATCGATCTGGCAACAATACGCCCAGGAACGGAGCAATTGACTCGCTGACAGGCAGTTATGTCCGTGTTCTGCAGCCTTGCTACTCCGGACCTTCAGGTCCTTGCCAATAGACCGTCCGACAGGTCATTTCATGCACAAACAACGCAGAAGGATCCAATAGCGGAGTCGCGTCGGGGGGCGATCGCGCTTCAACCGTTTAATGTGAATTGGGCGGTGTGTTTTGAGTGCTTGAGTGCTAAAGTGCTTTCTTCAAGATTTCCCTCCGAGATCAAGGGCAGTGCACTCTACTTTATCACGCTTATTCGGTTGTGGGATCGGATTTGAGGATGAATGAAGCGCGCAATCCATGGATGGAGGTTGTAAGTTACAGTAAGGAACGCGTCCTCATTTGATGGACTCGGAGGGTGTTGTGGGGATGGGACAGTGTGTAGTGTAAGTAAGTACTGATTACCGATCTGCAGAGCCCGTTACCGATAGGGTCTTTCAGGCCTCTGGGCATTGAAAGTGGGCAGGCAGTCTGAATGAGGTGGCCTCCCCTCATTGAAGAGAGATGAATGTGTATTGACAGGAACTTTGGAACAATGGCATGGCTCTGACCGGTTGAATGTTGGGTTGGAGTGACCGCTCCCCGCGGATGTGCAAAAAGACTCGATTGAATGCGAGTACTACTGGTAGGTAAGTACTAGGTAACCACCTGGTAACCACCTGGTAATATCTCGGTATACCTTTCGTCATCGACTACCACCGTCCCGGTGAATGACCCAATCATGCGATGATTATTAGCTCACCGCCTCTAATCTCGGAGCGTAACGAGAAAAAAACCCTTGGTAAGAGGGATGTACGAGCATAACAGACGCCTCCTCCGCAGTTCGCCGTCCCGAAAAGAAAAGTCTCGCGTGTACTCCGGTAGATCGTGTGTTGCTTTTCTTCCTCCCGCCTTTTCTTCCTTCCCATTTACCACTCACTCACTACTTTATTCCTTGCCTGAATAACACTTTCTTCCCTTCTCTCCTCCCCTCCCCCCTCCCCCTCTCCCTCCTCATTTATATTCATAGTGACTATTTTTCTCCTCTCTCTCTTCCCTACCCCACATTCTTCTTCTCTTATCTTCTCTCTCTGCTCGACGGACCTCTCTGTATCTTGTTGTTCGTTCCCCAAATGAGTGCATCTCGTCGAGCAGACACTACAACCAACTATGGCGGACGTTCCGAACGGTGGCAGAATTGTGCCCATAGTCGCGGCTCCCCGTCAGCATTATTCCACTATTCCCGCCATTGAGTCGGTGGGCAATCAACCCCAACCACAACCAAAGACCTCCAAATCGTCTAAAAGTACGCGCCAAAAGGCCGCCGAGGCCGAATGCTTGGAGATTCCGTGTCTCAACGAGCTAGGGCTCTATGCGCTCCCGACCGAGGGCGACGGTACGTTGCTCTTCGCCCGCCATTGGCCAGCGAGCTTGTCCCTTGGCGCTCTTACTCTAGTGTGCCCTGTTTTCTGACCGTCAATTGTAGGCAATTGCCTGTACTATGCCCTTTCCGATCAATTGTACGGCGACTTCCTCCACGCTGACCAAATCCGCGTTCGTCTCGCGGATCACATCTTGGCCAACAAGGACTACTTCATGAGCTTCATAGCTGCTGCTGGCGGAGAACGCAGGGCACCACGCCGGGCAGCAGCCAAAGCAGCCAGGCAAACCTATTGCTCCTCGTCATCAGCCAGTCCCGCGCCCCTCTCGGCCCGGGACAAGGAGCGTAGCTTCGACACTAAGGTGGCTGAATCGCGAAAGAAAGGCGTCTGGGGTGGCGCTGAAGAGATTCAGGCCTTCTGTCAGTCTTTCAAGAGGGATGTCGACGTCTACACGATGTATGGAATCCAGAACTTCCGCGACGTTCACGCACCTACCGATGAGCACCGAGAGAAAGTGCATATCGCATTTCACGTAAGTAACACAAACACTATGGCGTAGGTGAAGTTCTAACCCTCCCGCGTAGGATTTTCATCATTATTCGTCGGTCCGACACACGAGCGGGCCGCATACTGGACCACCTTCTATAGCACCCATTGACAAAGAGCGTCAGGAGGAAGCTTCCTCCGCCAGCTCGACTGTCGTAGACGTGGCCACCCCGTGGAAGATCTCGGCCATCCAGGAGGGTCTCGGAGGCAAATACGACCGCGAGACCATTGTGGGCATGCTGCAACAGTGCCGTGGCAATATTGACCGGGCTTTCATCAATCTGATCGGTGAAGACGCCAACTGTAGCGAAGCAGATGCGCCCACCTCGAAGGCTATTATGAAGTCACGTCTTCAGCCGTCCTCGCGGTCTTCATCTCCATTCAGTACGGGCAGCAAACGCTCCGCGGACGAAAGCGAGGCTGAAGAGAATCCCCGGCCTGCCGTTAAGCGCACGCGGGCTCGGGAGAGTAAACGACGCATTCTTCCCGACGTGACCGTTGGAATTGCCTTTAGAGATGATCAGAACGATCTCGTTTCTTTGCGACTGCGGGTCAGTCCGGACACAGTTGCGCCCAAGAAGCAGTCCACCGGCAGCACGACCCCCGAGCAAATTGACACTAGTTCTTCCTCGGAGCCAACCACTGACGGCAACGATCGTTCGAAGAAGGACCCCAAGCTCAAGATTAAGTTTCGAACGGCAGCTCCCGCTCCTACAGAAACCACTAGTCGACAGTCGAGTGAACCCAGTGAAGAGCCCAAGGCCACGCTGCGACGAAGCATACGACTGTCAAAAAGTCGCAACCCTCCCAGGGCCGGTTAAGATCAACCACACGCACCTCATACCAGTCGTCAAACCCTGTTCAAAATTAGCAGAGTGTCACCACTCACGCATACGAAGCTAACGACCACCAATTTACTTTCTCGATACATGGCACCATTTTCTGGCTATTGCATTATCAAGCGCGTTGGGTGTTTAGGGCCTTTTAGAGCGTTGGGCCCTTGCTTACTTTTTCTTCTTCTTCATACCCTGCTGCATATCTGCATATCTGCATATGACTGCTTCGTGCATGTTACTAGCGACGCGACTAGACCTTGTTCATGGTTCTATTCACCATCCTCCTCCACATCTTTTTTCTACCTCATACCAGACAAGATCTTCGGAAGAAGTCCGACTTTTTGAACTATTTATGATACCACTATACTACAATGATTCGATACATCACCTCCGCCAGCCTTGACACATGCGCTGCCTCTTCCTGCAGTGTGACCCGACATGAACATAATATCACCGTCTTGGCCTCTAGCATCAGGCGTTTTCAGCCCCGGCGTTTTTCTTATACTTGATATTCCCTTGATCCACACAAGGATGACGGAACTTGCATATACTTGTGAGAAGAATAAGAAGAACAACATTGCATAATGCATGATAAATGAAATCCAAGAATCGCTTGCTTTCTAGCTTGCGTGGCCTTACCTTGCTTGGCAGCTTGCTTGAAATTCTTTAAGAGGAGCACTGACTTACGGAGGACCAAGATCATAGACAAACAAGCCTTCTCCACCGAAAATCCCCATAAAAATCCCCTTGATCTTTCTAGCAAATAAATCCTGTCCATAGATCATAGCCGAGGAACAAATTCACAGGGAAAAAAATAGTAGAATTGGATCGTCCTCTTATGAGGTCAGGCACAAGGCTCCGTTTACGGGTTCCAGTACACTGCACAGTTACGAGTACCACTAACTTGATCACCACCGCGAGGGGAAACCCCGCAGAATATAGATATCCCCAGTTTCAGGTTCAGGTTCGAGGTTCGAGGTTCCTTCAGGCAAGGTGCTTCTGCTGGATGTGGAATAGAAAGGAAGCTGTGCCGGGTTTTCTCTTGCCTTTGTTTTATTCCGGGGCGAGAGAATAATGGCTGAAGCGGGATAGGAAAGGTATACTTCCCTTGCCCTGGGAGTTTACGGTGGGGGGAGGGGAGAAGGGGTGATAAGAAGTTTATCTTGTTGGCTGTGCGACTCGCTCGGAGACTCGGTACAGCGTACCATCACCTCACCACCTTTCTTCCATGATGACAATAACAGAGATAAACCCTTGCAGTAAGTTGTAGGTACTCCTCAAACAATCAATGATTAGACTAGCATTGCTTGAAGCTTCTCCAAATTCCCCTGCTCAGGAAATAGGTTGGCAAGGTTAGTTAGGTGAGTGCTCTGGGCATTACCCAGCGGAAGGGCAATGCCTTTTTTTTTCGTTTGCCGGGGAGAACAGTGTTTGGGTGGTCGTCTTGAATATGCAGCATAGCATAGAGGTGACATTGCAATCCAGAGCTGACGAAGGTGCAAGGGTAGGTGGAATTTTAGTTCTTCAGTATCTCTGTTTCGGTTTGAGTATATGGGTGCCTTCTTGAGAATAGAACAGGAGATACGGGGTTGACCGGGAGATCGGGTATTGCGCATTGTCTGTGTCATCAATGAACCACGGTATATGCATTGGCCTGGGAGATTATCTTAACGTATAGTGAGAAAGTGAAGAGGTGAGGTAGTGCTTGAAGTGTAGCCTTGATTAGATG